AATATTATAGTACTTACCGTCTATTATTAATCATACCATGTTGACGGTTTTAGATTGCTGGCACCTGCTAAGGTACTCTCACAGTATTGAGTATACAAGATTAAGACTGCGTAGCAATGTAACGGGACAGCAACAACTACGCAAAATATCTACCAAGTATATTTTGAGCTTGCGCGAATTGAATTGTGGGTAATACAGTTATCTAAGTAGCATACATATTCAGATTGGAACTAATTCAGTGGAATCGCCTTTCATATTCAAATCTGGTATTCAGTTTCCAAACGCTGGAGGTTGGGTAAAGCTAAAGTGGTGAGCAAATCGGACAAGGAATCCTTATTGTAACGGTCAACACGATTTTTCAATGAAACAGATTAAGGGGTTGACCATTTAAGTTCAAGGAGGGATTTTTTTTACGTACACTTGTAATCAAAACTTGTATATACCGGTATGTATTTCAATACCACTTTTTAAAAGTTTCCTACAAGGATTCCTTATCTGATTTGGTGAGTAAAATTCTGCCGACTTGCAAAATGTTGCTTTAATACAAAACATTAACAGTGGAATAAATTAAAATAAAGTGAAAGTAAACAGACATGTTTTAATTTAATTATGACAAATAAGGCAGTCCCAGATATTTGCACAATTAATTACCTGTCACTGAATTTTAATCCAATAAATTTTAAGTAAATAACCTGGTTATTTTTTTAAAAACTTGAATCTGTAAACCATGGCATAATTTTGATGGCCTGACTGAGATAACATTGTAAATCATGACCCACAGTCACTTTATTATGATAGGGGAACATTGACTGAACAAATGAAATTTTGTTGGCGCGCGCATATATATATATATATATATATATATATATATATATATATATACATATACATATAACTGGTACATTCAGTAAAACACTCACACATAACTGATGACATCATCAATGAAAATAATGTGGCATTTTATCGTTACTTCTCATTGGTAATATTGGGCTTTTTCGCAAAAGGGAAAACGTATGATCAAGTATCGTGAAATCATTTAATTTCACTATATTGTTTTGAGCAATTCACAAAGTTCACAAATATACCAAGGAAACAATGAGTTCAATAGTTATTTTACATGTTCACATAGATTTTTTTCAGCGTATTTTACTTATCAGTGAAAATAGTAAAATTAAAACCCAGTGAATAATTAATGCATTTACAGTACATACACACCACGAGTCGAGAAAAACAAATAATAATTTAAATTGCTTTTAATACTTTTGTTGAACTGAAAAAAATAATTGTACTGTTACATACAAATAGTAAAAATACAATGTCTTCCATATAAATATAGAATGAATATTTATTGTTTTCTTCTAGGAAATACATTTCTAATTTTGGTTTATGTACAATAAAATAAATTGTTAAAATGAAAGATACATTGAAGTTGCACAAAATATGCTAACTTGATGAAATGTGTCAGTCATCAAAATACTTTTGTGTTCATAGAGATTCATTTTTTGATTATAGACTTGCACTGCAAATCAAATTGTATTGATTTTAAAGCGGAAGGGTTGTCATCTGCACACACGAATTGAGTCCCAAGCGACAATAATAACACCATCTGACGCAAGCGCAGATGACGACTCCCCCGCTTTAACATTCAGGATACATCAAGAGAATTTCAGATGGTATTTTCCCATTTTTCAGCAACATCAATTAATAACTGCACTGGCAAGCATTCAAATACTTCCTGTGGGGGATGTCAATTGCTTTTCGAGCTTATAGTCTCAACACAGTGGCATTCATTCACTGTCATCACAATTATTTTGATTATTACTTGTACAACCGTGATAATTATACAATAAATTTTCCGATTTCCTAACTAGTCGGTTTTGAACATAATCACTTATATACTTCATTATGTAGTGACCCAACAAAAACTATTGTTGCTTATACAGTGTGGCAATGACATCATTGTAAAAGTTTTGATTGGTTGAATGAAAATGTCATAAAAATAAACAGTGGAAATTACATGATTAAGAGAAATTACCCAGCATTCAGCAAGTGCCAATGAACATTAGAGTATTTTATTTCTCGAGACACTCTAATAGTGTGTGTGAATGTGTGACATTTGCATGAATGTGAATTATACCGAGATATTACTAGCACTGTAGCTAGGCTTCAGTGAGTGATGTACAGTGAGTGGAACACTGCATAGATCTA